GTAGGATCTCTTCTTATTAAAAAGCTTCTGCACAGCAAGAGAAACCACCAACAGTGTGAAGAGACAACCCACAATGTAGGAAAAAATTTTCACCTGCTGTTCCTCGGACAAAGGTCTGGTATCTTGAATCTATAAAGAACTTAAAAAAATCAGACCCCCAAATTTAAAGACCCAATCCAAAAATGGGCATCTGAAATGAACAGACATTTCTCAGACAAAGTAGAAATAGCACATAAACATATGAAAAAATGTTCAACATCACTGGTCATTCAAGAGATGCAAATGAAAACAACGCCCAGATTCCAGCTCACTCCAGAAAGAATGGCAGCTATCATTAAATGAACCAATAACAAATGCTGGTGGGGATATGGGGAAAGTGAAACACTGCTTCACTGCTGGTGGGAGTATAGACTGGTGTAACCACTGTGGAAATCAGTATGGAGATACCTCAAAGAACTAGGACTGGAAATCCCACTTGACCCAGCTATTCCACTGCTGTGTATCTTCCCCAAAGAATTAAAAGAATCATACCACAGTGATATATGCACACCCATGTTCACAGCAGCACAATTTGTAATAGCTAAAACTTGGAAGCAGCCCAATTCCCCATCCACTGGAGACTGGATAAACAAAATGTGTTTTTTTAATAAATGGAGTACTACTCAGCCATAAAAAATGAGAAATTAGAAACATTTACAGCTAAATGGATGCACACTGAGGCAATACTCTTAAGTGAAATAAATACGACACACATGTTTAAATACCAAATAGTTTCTCTAGTGTGAGAAACTGTAAGTAAGGACTAAAAGGTATAACAGATAATGTGAAATAGGAAGAAAAGGGGCAAAGGGGGAGGGGAAGTGAGGGGTAGGGGAAAGAAAAGAAAGGAATGGAATATGAGAAAATGAAAAAATGGAAACAAAGTCTTTGTAAAAAGGGAGGGATGGAGGGGTCGAAGGGAGGGGAGGGGGAGGGGGAAAAATAAGACTCAAGAGAGATTATGTAAAGGTTCAAATTTCCAATGATGAATGTCATTATATTGTATACCTAAAAGGTACCAATAAAATTAATTTTTAAAAAACCAAAAACAAACAAACAGAAAAACAATTCTGCTGAGCATAGTGGTGCATGCCTGGAATCCCAGCCCTTGGAAGGCTAAGACAGGAGAACTGCTTCAAATTTGAGGCCATCCTGAACTATACAGTGCATTCAAGGCTATTCTGAACTATATTGTGAGACCCTGGCTCAAAAACAAAAACAAAAATTGACTTCATTTCTAATTTTTAAAATTTCCACTTTAAATGAAAATGTAGAGTGCCATCTCAGAAAAAAAGTCCCATCTTCATATTCTATTTCTTGCACATTTCTTTCTCTACCCTGTTCAGGGTTATTAAAGACAATTACTCATACTGTTTACCAGTCTCTTACTCCCATTTTAAAAATATACATTAGCTAACTTTTCTGCACAATTTAGCAAAAATGTGTCAAAGCCTCAAAAATGTACATGCCCTTTGAGCTAGAAATTCTATGTCTAAGAATTATTTCTAAAGAAATGAGAGAATTTATTTTAAAATTTAGAAAACTCAGAGGAAATATTTATAGTAGTGAAAAAAACCCCAGAATAAATATAAAAGTTTAGTAATGGATTCATAAAATAATTAAAAGAAAAGTCTATTCTGCAAATATACAACGCTTAATAGCAATCAACTAACCACTGACAGCCCTCTTTGGTCAACTGTGGGACTTCCTCTTCTACGTAGCTTGTAAATGTTGGAGCACCATGTACTGTGCCCCAATTTTAGGGTTCTTTCTCTCCTCATATCTAGTACTTTGGCTTTAGGTGACATATATACGCTATAACCTATCTTATGTTTATCTCCAGCTATGTCCATCTCCATTATTACCATCTTTACCTAAGCCAATATAATTTCTCATCTGCTCTCACTACACTACTGACCCCTAATTAATTCTCAAAAACAAGCCTGACTTATTCTCTTACTTAGAACCTAAGTTTCCCTTCAAACTTCCAATAAAGTCCAAACTTTTAATCACAGCCTGTAACATTCTATGCAACTTGGCCTCTATTCCCTCAACTAATCTCTCACAAATTTTCTCCAACCACACAGGCCTTCCTTCAGTTCCTTCAATATGCCAAGTCAATTACCACCTTACAGCCTTTTCATCCTATCTGGAATGATCTTGGCTTAAGCTGCCTTCTTATTCACACCCGCCCTTAAATATTTCCTATTCAGATCTCAAGTTAAAAGCCAGCCTGGGTTAGTGAGTCCCTGTTTCAAAAAGGGCTGAGGATATAGCTTAGTGTGAACATGTGAAGACCCTGGGCTCAATCCTCAGTATCACAAAAAAGAAAGAAGTTAAAAAAAAAAAGTTGTCTCTTCAGAGGCTTTTCCCATCCAGTATGAAACAGGTACCATCCTAACCAATTTTAGTTCTCTATGGAACATACCTGATAATATTTTCTTTGCAGTTCTGGGGATTGAACCCAGTGCTTTCTCACTGAGCCCAATCCAGCCTTTTTATAAAATGTTTTTATATCTGGAGAGGATTCACTAAATTGCCAAGGCTGGGCTCAAACAGCAATTCTGCCTCCATCTCCAAGTGTGTTGAAATTATAGACAGGCACTACCACAAAGGCACCCAATGCACTTTTAGTTATACTTTTATGTTTGCTTATGTTGTTTTAGTATGTATTTCTATCCTAGCACATAAACTCCTTAACATCAAAGGGCTTGACTTGTTCACTGTAATGTTCAAAAACTTGATATCAACTATGCATTCTATAAGGATGTAGTACTATAATAAGTCTTTTGTCAAAATTTAAAAAAATACAAAAAGCTTATTTATTTCAAAATAATTGTTTACCTTTAAGAAAGGAATGACTTCTTTCATAATTGCTTTAATTTGCCGGTCCAGCTGCTGAGTATCAATTCTAGGACATGGAACAGTAGAAACTTCACTTACAGGTTGTTGTGAACCATGATTTTCAATAATGGGAGTTTCTGTTTTTTAAGAAAAATGATATATTAGCATAAAAAAAACCCTATGACATTATACACCCACAACTGTGCAAAATTGTAAAGAAGTTATAATAATTTTATGTTAAAGTAATACAAAGGGAAAATTTATGTAGTTTTAGAAGTCCTAAAAAGTAAAAGAAAGCATTAATAAAACCACTATGATAAATCAAGTAGGGCTTTTATTTTGTATATGCAACTAAGATTACTACTGCTAATCAATCCATAACACACCTTCTAAATTATTAACTATAGTGGTAGCAGCAGCAGTTCCTTCATCCTCAACAACCCTGCAGGTGCATCTCACATTTGAATTACTTTCAGCTTCAGTCTTCATACGCTCATATTCTCTCATTCTTGCTAATGCTTGATCTAAGTGAATCACGGTGTTACCTGGATTTGGAACAGAAATATTTCTACAATATGTAAAAGCAAACTTTTTCATGTATTTCTTAAAAAAAAAGTAGGACCTTCATTTTCAGAGAACTGAAGTAACTTAGCTAAGGCTTCATAGCCAGTTAAAATGTAGGAGCAGAGATTCGCACTATGGAGCCCATGTTTATTTTATTTTGATTTTTTGTTTTGTTTTGTTTTTTTGGTACCAGGTATCGAACTTGGGACCTTGTGCCTGCGAGGCAGGTACTGGAACCACTGAGCTAAATCCCCGGCCCCCCATGTTTATTTTAGTACACCACATTGTTTCATATAAACAGGAAAAAGAAAATAAATTCAAAAATATCACACAAATTCTGAGGAAAACAATTCAACCTAAGAGAAGCAAATAAGGTAAGAAAAAGGCCTAGGACTATTAATGAGATTTCCCAATTCTATGTCCACTTCACCTAGTGGTAAGGTATTTTAGGAGAGAAAAAAGAAGAAAAAAACAGAGGGACAACTGACGAGGGTAAAGGTTGCCCACAAGAATAATTTTTCTCCATAATGGGATGAGCTTAGTATAGGCCTGACAGATTTTTACTCAGAATGGAGATAGAACTTAGTCCTCAATAATCAGGACAGGCAAAAAGACTTCAATTGTTTTGATAAAGTAGACACCTAAGGCTTGGGCCTTTTCTTTTTTGGAGTGGAAAAGTGCCTTTGAAATTATTTAAATTTTATCATACAAACATTAAAATGAGACATTAGAATATTTTACCAACTAAGTGCCTGGGAGATCAGAATGACTGCATACATCTTCTGACAGGCCATAGCCCGGGAAATGTATCAGCTATCTATACATTTTTCTTTCCTCTAATTTCATTTCCAAATCTATAACTCAAGTTTTTTCTCCCATTGAGTTATACAACCCTCTAACCTTCATCTTATTCACTTATTACGTTTTACTACTCATGAAAAAAAAAGTGCAATGTGGCATACCTTACCTGGAGTTTTTACTACAGGCTATTTATCGTAAAAATTTGAGTTCTGACTCAAACTATACATTTTCACATTTTTATTAAAACTATGGATAAGGCCTGATTTGTTTTTCCCTATTAAGATTATCTCTTTTTTAAAATTTTGTGAGCTCCTATTATTCATGGTAGGAAGTTACATACACTTTTCCTGAGAACATAGCAGGTAGATAAGATCCCCACTTCCATAGCACCTGCAGAGGCATAAAGATTAGATGATTTGCCAACAGTCAAACAGTTAAGAATTCTGAATTTAGACTGACTGATAGATACACCCATGTTCTTTGAGCCACACATCCTTTCCAGCTGTTTTCTTATTCATGTAACAGAAAGAACTGTACTGATCAACTAAAAGTCATGTGCTATAATAAAAAAATTCTGCTTACCTAGATCATCTGTTGCAAAAGGCTCAAAATTTGAAGATACAGATATGACACTAGCATTATCAGCATCATTTTGCTCACTTATTTTATGCGTTTCTCTTTCAAAGTTCTCAAAAGTTTCCTAAGATATAGTAAAATAAAGAAAAATCATTACTATTTATTTGAAACATGGCATAAATATTAAAGATCTAACAAAGAAACCATTTGCATAAAACTATACCTAAAAGAAATTCTTGTAAGTTATAAGTATTCCATCCAAAAACAACTGTGATATATCTAAAGTTATTAAAGGTTGAATGCAGTCACAGAGAATATTAAAATATTAAGTAACCTTCCAGAACATTTGCCATTTTGTAGATAAAAATACACAACCAGATACTGATTAAAATTCTAAACCAACAAACATTTTAAATTACTTTAACATCTTCATGAACATTCCATCTCCAAAGTCTAACAATATTTAGTACCTTATTATACTATTCTGTCTCATGTCTGAAGAAAACCATGACAGCTTGACAGCTTCACTCATTTTTAAAAACTACATTTTATTGAAATACAATTTACAATAATATACTCATTTTAAATGTACAATTTGTTGAGTTCCAACAAATGTATAGTCATGTAAGTTCCACTAAAGACCATTTTCATTAGCTCAGAAGTTCCTGCATACCCTTCGTAGAGTCAATCTCTACTATACCCCACTTATGTGATTTCTATCACTGTAGATCAACTTTGCTGATTCTAAGACCTTCATAAAAATGAAATCACATAGTATATTGAAGTTCTTTTTTTTTTGCTGATAGTATTCCCTTGTGTGGATATACCAGTCTGTTTATCCATTTACCTGTTGATGCTCCAATTTGAGGCTCTAATGACTAAAGATTTATGAACACTAGTACATAAGTATTTTTGTGGACATATGTTTTTATTTGATTCGGATGAATATAGTACCTAGAAAAGAAATTATTTGGTCACATGTCAAGTTTATGTTTAACTTTGTGAGAAACCTCCAAATTGCTTTCCAAAGTGATTGTGCAATTTTATGCACCTCCATCAGTGAGAACCAATTGTTCCACATTCTCACCAATACTTATTGTCAATCTTTTTAATTTTAGTGATTTTTGTGGGTGTGAAATGTTATCTCTTATGGTTTTAATTTGCATACTAGCCATTTATATATCTTCTTTCATGATGCATCTGTTCAAATCTCTTGCCCATTTTTTACTGAGTTGTCTGTTTTATAATTGAATTCTAAGAGTTCATGTTGTTCAGCTATAAATCACTGTCAGATATATGTAACTGGGATTATTTTCTCTTTACCCATTGAAAGGCAGAAAGATTTTACTTTCATGAAATCTAATTTATCAATTTTTTTCTAGTATTGCAGTATTGTTCTTGTTTAGAATCATTGTTAGAATCTTGTACAGAATCATTGTCAAGGCCAAAATGATTTTCTCCCATTTTCTTTTAGTTTGTATAGAGTTAGCCTTAAAGGATTTTAATTCATTCCAAATTAATTTTGTATATAGTGTGATGGGGGTGTCTCATTTATATTTTGTGTCACTGGATTTTTTTTTTTTTTTGTGGTACTGGGGAAAGAACTCAGGACCTTGCACTTGCGAGGCAGGCAGCAGCACCACTGAGCTACCCAGTCCCTCTCATTTATATTTTAACTGAAATATTTTGTAAGTATGTATTTTTCTTCTAGCTATTGTTTCCCTAGTACTAGAGATTGAGCTCAGGGGACACTACCACTGAGCTAAACCCCAGCATTCTTTTTAAATTCTGAGGCAGGGTCTTGGAAAGCTGCCCAGCCAGGACTGAAATGTGGGATCCTTTTGCTTAGACTCCAAACTAGCTGGTATTATAGGCACGCACCACTGTGCAAAGCCTATTGACCTTTTAAGTTTCCATCACCGTAGAAAGTCCTACTGGAAAGCTGCGACTCATTCTGCTGCTATTGCTGATTAAGTGGCACTGGTGAAGAGAAAATGTGGATACTAGTGCTGAATTTAAGTTCTGGAAGAAAAATTAAAAGAAGTGATTTTGTTATTTGAAAATAATACTGAATTATTTATGCCAAGTTCCTACTTATTAAGTAGTGTACTATCTCTAAATTTTATTCAACTTTAAAACTGTCAAGTTAACTTTATTCTATGCTATAGTCTAAATTTTAAAATCTAATATTGATGTTGTAGACTAATGTGCTCAAATCTTTTAAATTAAATGAATACCAGGCATGGTGGCATACACCTGTAGCCCCAGCACTTGGGAGGCTGAGGAAGGAGGATCACCACAAGTTTGAGGACTGCCTGGGCTAAATAGTGAGTTCAAGACCAGCCTAAACTACATAGCAAGACTGTCTCAAAAATAAAAATAAGAGAGCTAAAAAAATGAAGTAATATTGCCCCTATGAAACTTAGATAAAAAAGGGGAAACAGTGGAGTTAAGGATATAAAGTTATTAAAAAAGATGCTTCAGAAAAGATTTTTCACCAGGTGTGGCAGACAACTGTAATCTCAACATTCAGGACGGTGAGGCAGGAGGATCACCATGAGTTGGAGACCAACTTGGGCTACATAGTTAGTTCAAGGCCAGCTTGAACTACATAGTGAAGCTAGTATGTAGTGAACTACATTGTCTCAGAAAAAAATGTTTTTTCTTTCTCTCACAATTATTTATTTCCCAAGAAATCTTAATGTAACCTAGCATCTCTTTTTTTTGGTACCGGGGATCGAACTGAGGACCTTATGCTTGTGAGGCAGGCGACGGCATCACTGAGCTAAATCTCCGGCCCTAGCATCTATTTTTTTAAATGGATACAGCTGGGCCACTTTTCATTTCCCATGAAGAACAGTGCTATACACAATTTTCAGTTAATTGTAATAATTTATCCAAAGTAGCAGACACTAATATTTGACATTGCCAAGTCAATTTAAATCATATTATTTGTACATACAGGTATAAATTCACAGTAATATAGGATTTGGAGCTTGATAGAGAAACCTTTTTTTTTTTGGTACGGGGATCAAACTCGGACCTTGCGCTTTTCAAGGCAGGTGGCCACACCACTGAGCTAAATCCCCAGCCTGACAGAAATATTTTAAGCAGAAAAAAAAATAAGCTGAGAAAAAACTTTCCAACATGAGTTTAAGTTAAAGACAAAAATTCAGAAAAAAATCTTCAATAGTTCTAAGAAAATTACTCTATCTGAAGAACAAAATAATCTTACGAAAATAACACTATCTTCTCAGAAAACATTTAAAGTATTTCAACAAGGGTCAGCAACACAATATGATTCCAACTTTCTACCTAGAGAAGATCTGCCAGTCTATTATGCACATGGATCTCCACATTATCATTTAAAAATTATCATTTAAAAACAATTATATATGTTGTCCAAGACCATTATATAATCTTCTATAACCAAATCAAGGTCTCAATCTTTAAATAAGTGATCCCCAAATACCTCAGTATTCTAGCAGTTTGTCATGCAGTCATTCCATCATCTGTGAGCTAGGCAATATGTAGAGAACAAAATTTACTAAACTAACACCATTCTCCTCATCACTCTTCTCCATTTCCAGGTCTTTTTTACTTTGCTGAAAAATTTCTCCAAGGAGACAACATTAAATTAAATTTTTTTTTGGTTAATTTTCTTTGTCCAGGTTTCTTTTTTACCCAAAGAACTGATTTTTCTTGTACTTATTTACTCAAGGGATCATGCTGTGATTTAACTGCTGTCTAGTATAGTTTTGAAGGAATACAACACAAATTTATTAAATGTCTGTTAAGAGTCAGCCCTTATGTGGGAAAATGGAGATACAAACATGGCTATTTTAGACCTCATAATGTATTATCGACATAAAATTTTTGGTATTGGCTGTCACATTTTGATTGCGTTCTACATTTCACCTTCAAAATAAAGTAATGCATTACACCCACCTTTTTTTAAAAGGCTAAAAATAAATTAGGGATATTCATAATTTGGTAACAACCTATTTAACTTTGTACTGTAGACTAAAGTTAAGTCTACAGTTCACTTAACACTATCATCTTACATCATCAGTAGTAGCCAGGCTTTCACTGGGTGTAAGTTCCGAGTTTGATGCTATCCAAGTACCAGAGTTGACTGACTTTACATTTTCCCCTTCTTTTTCATGGCTTTCAGAAATATGTCTGGATACTATGTCCTAAATAAGGAAATAAGACATTTATGTAAAACACAGTCTTAATCCCAAATTTACATTACAAATAAAAGCAGAAGCAAACGGAAGAAAAAATATAGTGCTTTTCACAAGTGTGAGGAGGAAGGAACATTAAAAATAAAATATGGAAAAACTGCTCATGAAGATTGCTAAAAACTACTTAAGCTATACAGAAGTTTTAAATACAACATCAAGAAAAACAAAACAAATCAAAATACATACAGAACAAGAATATGCTTAAGTCTTAAGAAAACAACCAGAAATATCAAACAGTAAAGTGGTAACAGGGCAAGAAAAAGAATGTTAGGGGATTTAGCTCAGTGGTTTCGCTGCCTGCTGTGCAAGCGCAAGGACCCGAGTTCAATCCCCAGTACAAAAAAAAAAACAAAAAAAAACTATACTTCTGACTTTACCCCCCGCCCCCAAAAAAAGAAAAAGAACGTTAGGTGCCAGATACCTGCAATGCATATAAAGCTCTCTGTCTCAAATAGTCAGTATTAAGTAGCTGAAGCTCATGAAAGAGTTCAATAAGGAAATGTGGGCGAGATTCATTCTGAGAAATTAATGTAGCTACTTCCGAATAGATAGTATCCCGCAGAGCTTCAAACATGGAAAAATCACTCCCAGTTTCTGGAAGATATAAAAAAATCAGTAAGTTAATATTGATAAAATACCTTCATGACAATTTCTATTAATTTGCATCATTACTGTAGGCCTTAAAATACTTAAAATTAGAAACTCATTCTATTTCAGGACTCTTATAGTAGAAAAGAGCTTTAACATTACCAAGTTAAAAATATCTTAAAATATCAAAATTAAAAAGTATTTAATTCATGAATACCTAGCACTACTTAGAACACTTTCTCAATTTAAAAAATTGGAAAAACTATACACTTCATGGAAATAATCAGTGAAAAATCTCTGAAATAAGATTTTCAAACTGAAAATCTTCACAAAAATCCTGAATGAAATAAGCTAAGTGCAAATAAGTTTCCTTTTTTTGTTCTACGATGAACTTTCTAACAGAAAAAAATCTTTTATTAATGTTGAGAACAAAATGAATACCACTAATGAAAGCTACTACTGTACTTGAAGGTTTACCTAGTTAGGTCTACTAATTTCCAAATCCCATCTACAATTCAGAAATATATTGTACTAATAACTGAATCTGTAACTATAACATGTCAATTTTACTAGTCTTATCTACACTATCAGTATAAAATGCAGCAATGACCCAATTGAAGTCGTCAGCTGCACAAAATCACTATTATCAATCTTTATAATTTTGCTATATGTACTGATAACAGAATTCCTACTCTTGAATGTGTAGTCATACTCAGAAAGAATATAAATTAGGAATGGTTCCCATTCTGAGTTCCCTCTGGAAAAAAAATCTCTAAGTGGTTTGTCTAGCTATCAAATTCTATAAACTTTCTACAGCAATAGGAGAATCAAGTAGCTAAATCCTTGAGTTCTACCAAAATCAGTGCTGTTTCTAAGAAATACTTTTATTTTATTTATTATTTTTTTTGGTACCAGGGATGGAACTCAGGACCTTGCACTTGCAAGGCAGGGGGGGCGGCACCACTGAGCTAAATCCCCAGCCCTAAGAAATACTTTTAAATGTTGAGTGTTTTAATATACTGCACTTTCAAGAACTGCGAAGAGTTCAAAGATTTAACACATTTCTGCAAGAGGAATAAGAGTATAAAAATATAAGAGGAATGTGCTCTATTGAAAAAAATTTTCACTAATTAGCTATTAGTCTTGATTCCATAAGCATAGATGTAATTAAAAACATGCAACTTCCTATCCTGCCTCAGATAGTTATGAGTATACAATGAAGTGATATACAGAACTGTAACAGTTTTCAAGTGTTCAAATCTGATAAATTACTCCAAAAAGTGACATTTACTCTAAGTAGGAATGAAAACTACTCTGTGAGAACTCTCAGGGCTGAGGAAGGAGCTCAGTGGGGGAGAGTACTTGTCTAGCACACTTCAGGCTTCAATCTCCAGCACACACACACACACAAACACACACACACACACACACACACACACACACACACACACACACACACAAAACCAAGAGAGAAAAAGAAAAGAACAGTGAAAAGAAAGCTCTAAAGTAAAATATCCAAGTCAAAGGATATGACGATATACAAACTTTCAGTTTACATGTGATATTAAAACTTGATCAGTTTTGATTTTGAAAATGTTTCAAAGCTTTAAGAACAAGGTATACTTAATGACCTCTTTAATATCTTTATATGTGGTAAAATTATCACTCTAAATTATGTATCACTAAAAATTAAATATTCCTAATAATGAATTATGCCTATCACAAGCTGCATCCTCCTTTCTATAGTCAAAAGATGGGAAGTTTATGCCAATTTCTCCTCTTAGACTAAAATTAATTAGCTTTTGCTAGAAAAAAGGTCCTAATCTCAATTAGACTTCTTTCAGCCTATCTCAGTTATTTCCTATTTTCTTTGGAATTATCACCAATGTATTTGGCTTTGTCAATACAAGTTCTATTTTTACTTTTAGTGTCCTCTAAAGTTTCAAACAGGCTTCTACTTTTCACTTACTATAAGGAGAGTTACAGAAAATTTCTAATTCTATAAATACAAAATCATATTTACAAAAATATACAGTTTAGAGACCAAAATAGCTTTTCTTTTTTGTGTGGTACTGGAGGATAAACCCAGCACCCTGCACTGAGCTATACCCCAATCTTGTTTTTATTTTGAGACGGGGTCTTTTCAAGTTATAAGTTACCTAGGATGGGCTGGAACTTTCAATCTTCCTGCTTCAGCTTCCCAGAGCATGAGATTATAGGTGTGTGCCACACCCAGCTATCAAAATAACAGTTTTGAATCTAATTTTCCATGTTCTTTATTTATCACAGTATTTGCATATTATAGTTGTTTTTGCTAGATGGTTTATTTTATAGATGTTGACTGATAATGACAAGCAATTATAAAAACATCTACATTTGTTTCCAAAATACTAATATTTTTAAATGTTTAAGAAATATCAAATACACAACTTCCAAATACTGAATGCTACAGTTTCTATTACCTTCACAAATGTGTTGGTTAGGTTTCACAAACTAAGAGCAAAACAAAAAAGCAGCTAGTTTTACCAACTAAGAATTATAAATGAAAGACTTCAGAATTTTTTGACTATGAACTCTTTCATGTTTATAATCGTCACATAATATATATATATATATATATTAAAAAAATCAGAACCATGTAACTGAGGGTTTTGTAACAAATGGAAAAAAAATAACACAAATGGACACCAAAACTATGCAGATTGTTACCTGGTGCTTCATTACATGCATTTCTGTTAGACTGGTGTAGTATTCTCCTAGCATGTGCTGTAGGAAAGGGCAGACACAAGGATGAACATAAAAGGTGTATAAGTAGCAAAGACAGGGTCTATAATATGAATAAGTGAATGAAAAAAAGAATTAAGCAAAATTTTAAGAAATTGTTTGCCTGAAGTAGAATGTTATCACAAGGTATATAGTTTATGTTCTATTTAAAAATAATCTCACTAAGGAGAATCTCAAAAGCTTTGCTAGACTCTTACTGATTCTGTGACTGATGATGATTATCATAATAAACTTTTATTAGGTTTTTGAAGATACACATCAAAGTGAATCACCTACAACTCCAGTGGGAGAAATGCTTAATTCAATTCAAGCAGCAATTTATGCTACATTCTAATAATCACATACTACAAGTAGACTAACAAGTATTAGTACATGATACAGAGAATTTTACAGAATGGATTAACATTCTAACATACTATGACTACCAATTATTTAAGTAATAATATTCAAATTATTAAGACTTTAAAATTTAGTGCCCTTGTCCAACTGTTTATGAAGATACCAATGTTTGGTAAAGACATAAAAATCATAAAATTTTGCTAAAATTCTGGGTCCAAGACAACATAATTCTTATATTTCTCAAAAGAATCCTGGACTTAACAGTTCAAACTTCACCCAGACATGCTCGTGTACGCCTATAATTAATTCTAGCACTCTGGGAAGCTGAGGCAGAAGGCTTGCCAATTACTAGCCCAAACTGCACAATTTAGTAGGACCCTGTCTCCAATCAATCAATCAATCAATCAAGGTGTTGGGGATGTAACTAACTCAGGGCAAAGCCCCTGGGTTCAATCTCCAGTGATACACATACACATATGTACAGAGTTCAAAATTCAGGGCTACCCATTTCCTACCAATATGAGCTTGAAGAAGTCATTTCAAAATACAAACAAGTGTGATTTCAAAATACAAACAACTGTTTGTATTTCTGTTCTGACTACAAAAGTAGTAAGCACTCAAAAGTTTTAGAAAACATGGATGAGTTTTAAAATGATAAAACTACTATTAAATTATTGGTCCATTTTCTTCTGGTCTTTTTTCATTTACGATTTTGTTTATACATAGTTGAATCATCATACTGTTCAGACAACACTAAACCCTGATTTGTTTTCCTTCACTTCTGTTTCCTTAGGATGAATTCTAGCAACAACAGTTACTGAGTTAAAGGCAGATTTTTGAAACTTTCCAAGAAAGTTGTATTAATTAATACTAATAACACTTTAAAGTGCTGGAAAAAAAATCAAAGTACCCTCTCTATGACTCTTCCTCTGAAAATAGAAATAAAACCAACTCAGCGTTATGAGGCTTAAATGAGATTTGTAAATAATTCTCTTAATAATTAAAATATATTAAATATTGAAAAATTATAAATAATAAAGCACAATACTATCATTTTCACTAAGGGTCCTATCAATGAGACTGTCTCTATAGTTACTGATTCCCTCTCCATATTTCCTTGAGATATTCGTTATAAACCAGGAAGGTATTAGTATTTATTTATACTAAAATAATGGCAAATATATGACTCCATTCAGTCAGTGAATACTTACTGAGAGCCTACCATATATAGGTATTATACTGACAATTAAGACAAATATAAAAAAGTATTATCATTTGCCACTGGACTCAAAAGGGTTACACAGACACTTAAGTAAATACTTATAATAATGTGATGCAGGCAACAAGTAGGTTTACACAGGCTCCAACAGAAACAAAAAGGAAAAAGAGAGTTTTTCTAGTTTGGATTCAGATACAACTGAAGGGTTCCAGAACTAAAATGTTATATAAGTGACTAGTGAAAACGGCAAAAAAGACAATTTAAGACAAAAAAAGACAACTGGTAAGGTGAAAAATAACATGACTACTATGGGAAAACTACAGTGCCACTGAAAGAATAAAGTTCAAGGTAGACTGGTGAGAAACAACCCTGGAGAGGCAAGAAGGAACCAAGACCCTGATGGTCATGTGTGTTACATTAAGGAATTCACACTTTATCCAACAGGGATGGTAAAGTTAAAAGTCGTAAGCAGGAGTATGATTTCAAACCAAATTCTTATTTAGATAAGATTCTCAGAATTTAAATTAGGAGTTCCACATTAATGCCAACTATTGTTTGTTTAGAAATAATTTTAGTAAAATGTCAAAAACTAGTATAACAAAAATATTTCCAGTTTGTATTTTTTGATACCAACAAATGTGTACCGTAATCTCTACTATAAAACCTCACACACATGACAAAAATATGTTGACTCAGTTTTAAAAATTGCTTTAATACAGCTTTTCAAGTTCCAAAACTCTTTAAAAAGAAAAAAAAAGAACATACCTGAAGATATTTCTGCAGACCTACTATATTTTATTATTTTTTCCAGCTGCTCATGATTCTTTCTGCTGAATACTTTTGCTTGAACAGGCTCTTCAGTCTGGGCTGAATGTCTGTTCCTACTTTGGCAAGGTTCACATGCACTAGACATACTGGCACTTTCATACCCTTAAGTAAAAAAAGCGACAACTGTTATCAGTTGCTACTAACTCAAAGTGAATGGGAAATTTCCACAGTGAAACAGTACAAACAACTCACTTTAGAATGCTATGAAAGTCTGGTATAAATAGAATACAAAACAGTAAATTATATGCCTTAGAGATATGTTTGCAGTAACTGTGGAAGCATAGGATAAAAGTGACATATTCTATCACTTTACTAGCCTTGATAAATATCTCTGTGAATATATCTTAATTCTAACTATAATGTAAGGCAAATTTATATGACCCAAATTCTCTAACAGACTCCAACTTAAAAATTTTTCAGTATTGGCAAACAAAAGAAAATCACATCTATAGACACTTGTAATAGAGAGTAATGAGCATCAATCAAATACATCTGCCTTTACTACACCCTTTGTGTGACATAACTTGGTTTAAAAGCTCTCACCCACCCATAAATTATACATATATTCTAGCAAATTTTCCCTCTAAAATCTTTTTCACTTCACACTTACTTTTCTAAATAGGAATTCAACATTTTTTGTTCTATATGGACAGATGGTGTCATGGCTTGTATCCAGATATCCCCCCAAAGCCTCATGCTGTCACAAGTGAGGCTTTTCAGAGGTGGCTGGATCTAGGGTATGTGATGCTGGGATTAAGGGTGCCCTACTCTCCGTTGAGTGCTACTCAACCTAAGGCAGGTAGCCTGGATGGAATATAAGGAACAGAAAGACAGTTGCTGCCATTGCTTGCTGCTGCTGCTGCCAATGCTTGCTGCTTCCCGCTTTGCCATGGACTGATTCTCCTCTGCGATGTCCCTCTGCTGTGCCACCCTGCCTTGGAGCCAGCTGACTATGGAGTGAAACCGCTACAAACTGTGAGCCAAAAAGACCTTTCCTTCTTTAACTTTGGGTGTCCGCTATTTTGTCTCAGCAATTAAGACAGCTGGTTATACTTAGCATCTTCCCACAGAGTTAAAATGTACACTGGTTAATATACTAAATCCTCATATTTACTGCGTTTTATTTTTGGACTTTCTAACTGTTCAACTTATCTATTCCAGTGCCATTTTCATTCAGCTACTGAAGTTATACTGAAGTTATGAAGTTAGTTATGCCTAATCATCTGGTAAGGCAAGTCCTACATGGCTTCATTGTGTTTCTTAATTATTCTTAAGATATTTATCTTTATAAACTTTGAGAGTCTTTTTTCAATTTCAAAAATAATCAGAATGCCATCACACTAAAAATATTTGGACTGGTACTTCATAACTTTAACCATTTCCATTTTAGAAGATGGTAATGTTCTCACATTCGTTCACTCATTTTTCATGTTGTTCAAAAATATTTTATAGCTTTTTATAAACCTAATACTTTCCCTATTAATACAGATAAATATTTGTATATTTAATAACCAACCACTTTAACAGTTCACCTTAACTCAAGTATTTATTTTCCGGTGTTTAGATTCTCTTAATATACAAAGAGACCATCCAAAAATACCTAAAATTTCCCTGTTTTTCTAATACCTATTCCAATTATTTAATTTCTGCTCATAATACTTTCTAAACAATCCTAAAAAAAAAAAATAGCGGTGGTAGAGAGGACAACCCTTGTTTGGTTCCTAATTTTGACAGAAATGTCTTTGGAGTATCTCCATTTCAATGATGCTTGTCATTGGCTTTAGCTAACTGCCTTTATTATAAATGACTGCTTTTTTCTTTTTCTTTGAGATAGGGTGTTGCTATGTACTCCAGACTTGCCTTGAATTTGTGATCTTTCTGCCTCAGCCTCCCAAGTGCTGTGATTATAGGCATCAGCCACTATGCCTGGCTTAAAGAATTCTTTTCTTTTCTTTTTTTGGTACTAGGGATTGAACTCGGGACCTTGCGCTTGCAAGGCAGGCAGCAGAACCACTGAGCTAAATCCCCAGCCTTTAAATAATTATTTTCTTATAGCTGTTTTACTTGGAATTTTTATTAGGGATCACCAAATTCTGCCAATCTATTATTATAACTTTTATCATTTTAATTTGCTATAATAAATTATGTTCACAGATTTCCAAGTAAAGAAACATGACATTTCTGAAATTAACCCAAGTAACAACTGTCCAATATTCTTTTGATATACAATATTGAGAATGGTCTGTTTTCTTCACTGAAATATTACATCTCTTTTTTAACTTTCCTGTATAAAGATAACTATTCCTGGCCGGGGATTTAGCTCAGTGGTTTTGCCACCTCCTGTGTAAGCGCAAGGACCTGAATTCGATCCCTGGTACCAAAAAAAAAGATAACTATTCCAAATCATAAGTTGTTTTTTATGGCTTTTCTCAGGTCAGATGTAGCAAATCTTTTTTTCTTCCTGACAGGTAAAGAAAGAGTGTCCTGGCTCAGCACAGGATTTCTGAGTTGCAATTCTTTTTTGACTGTGTCTAAGTTATTTTACTTTCTACTTCTTTGCACTTATACGGAAAATAATATTACCTAATGTCAGTTGTTTTTTTGGTAACTTTTTTTTTTATGCATTCAATTACTGCTTTTCCACCTGTTCTTTTCTCCCCTTCTTTCCTCGTATATCAGATCTCTTAAGCCTCTAATTCTGGCAACATTCTGCCTTGCTAGTTGTTGGTGTACCATCAAGACAGTAAGTTTCTTTATTCCTTAGTCTCCTTGGTTGGAAAGGCTAATGCTCTCCCACCTGCCAGGTTGGCGACCATTGCCATACAGCTAGCTATTCCATAAGTACATTTCAGCCAGTTAGGACCTTAAAGCAACAAAAGATTGCTACTCTTGGAGGTGAGAAGATGGGCCAAGAGTGAGGGGTTACACTGGTCTTCTCTAACACAGCTTTCTCCAAAAACCTAGATATTATGAAAGAACTAGCAAAATCTAAAGTTTTGTTGCTTGTATCCTCCAGATCATAGCAGCTGCTCAGATATCAAATAAATTCCTAAAATACTGTTTTGTCTCCATGATATCCTATCTGGATTCAACATTCCCTTTTCATTTCTAAGGCCATCATTTAAGGTTAGGACTCCATTATCTCAAATTTATTTTCCTGGTTTCTTCACTGGTGTCTCTGGCTGAAGTCTAGCCACTAACCATCCACTCTGCAAGAAACTTACTGGAAAAGGAACCCTCATGATTATGATATTCACATAAAATAGGTCCAAAAAGTAAAAGTTACAACTGCCAGAAGTATTATGTTGAATTACATAATTGGAAGTACTATTGGTAGTGTCATTTAATTAACAGTACACAATTCACTGATGAAAAACATTTAAGTATGTTGTGCTAACACGAACATTTATACAAATGAAATTAAATTTTTGACTTCTATTACTGAATCACATGAAAAGTACTGAATGATTTTAATGAAAGTTAAAATACAGGTTATGTGACATATACAAAATTCTATTTAGAGTCCCAGTAAGCACTATAAAAAAGGTGTACAATTAAAACTGTGAGAAGCATGCTACAATTAAGATGGTATGAGAAGGGGGAGACTATGGTTTTGTATACAAGTTTCAAACTTAATACATCAAGGACTAGTTTTCCAAAGTTAAGGTATTAATATAACACTAAACTATTTCTAGAGCACTTTAATAATAAGCATCCAGAGGCAGTAGCAAAATTAACAAAAGTTAATATTTCAGAATAACACTGACTAGGACAGCTGGTATAAAAACAAAATACATGATATTCATTACTTTAAGTGTGTTACCTCCTATCCTACTGCATCACTTTCCCTTATCCCCATTCTGTTAGACATAGAAGGAAATAAATAATACTTCTACTTGTGCCTCCACTGAAGGGAAATGGTTCAGCCATGGCATCCTGGAGACTTTATACATGTTCAAAGAGGCCAGAGGTAAGGACTGAACCACTGCTGAATCTCAGTCTTGGCAGAAGGCCTTATGAACCTCCTGAACATACAGCTGTTCTGCAGCTATTCCCCATTTGCTTCCCTCTCCCTAGGAGGCTGCCAGGAGATAATTTCTGATCTTCTTTAGGTTCTGAGGAAACATGACACCTTTCTGTCTCACTTCTGGGTGTACATCTGCAGACTGTAAAATGGCTTAGCTGCAGTTTAACTCTGACTCCTCAGTAGTAGGACATCCCACCAATCATTTTGCAATTGTCACCTGGCCCTTTATTTCAGTGTTGCTCTCTTCAAGTGAGATAGGGAAACACAGCTGGGTTTTTCTGCTACTCTTCCTTTCTCTGCCTATGTAAGTAATACACTGAATTTTTAAAGGGTTCTATTCCACCCTGCTTTTTTCTTTTTTAACCAGCCCAAATCTGTCAGGCCTTTCCTTGATTAATGGCTTATAACTATATCATGTCAGGCTTTATTAGTGAGTACCAAGAAAGGGAAGAACAATAAAAGATTCAAGAATAGTTAGAAATCAGTAAATTATAAACTCAGTACATTAACAATGCTATGTAATTTTCTAAAAAGAGAATGAAGATCAAGATCATGCTATTCTAGTAAGTTTAGGACATTATAATTAGCTCTCCTACAGTGTACCTCTCAAGAGAGCAATTTAACTACTACTGCTGATCTGTGCGTCATACCTTCTCTCTCTCAATCCCTCTTACTCCACTTCTTCTCAACTCTATACTTTTCTTATTGTTACTACGCCTTGAATGCTTTACAGTATTATTTCACCTCACATCCATTTACTACTTCCTTCACGACACAATAAACATCCTTTTTTCTAAGAAATCTTAGATATTCCTATCCCACAAAGAAAATAAAAATACATCAGTTCTCTAGTTCAGTAATTCTCAGGTTTTCATGTGTATATCTTCACATAAAACATGTGGAATCTTAGTTCAGTGGCACCACAGCTGCCTTGCAAGCACAAGTTCTGAGTTTGATCCCCAGTACAAAAAAAAAATATGTGGAATCTTGATAAAATGCATATTTGCATATTTAAAAGAGTATACACTGACTCAGTTGGTAAGGCAGGCACAGGGTGCATTTTTAAAAGGTCCAGATGAAGCCAATGCTGTGTGTTCATGGTTCACATTCTGAGTCACAAGGGTTTAGCTGACTACTTGATTCTGCTACATATTAGCTTGACTTTGCTGTATATGATTTGATTCTGCTAGCAAGGCTTATTTTTGTGTGTGTGCTGTACAGTGAGGCTCTCACAAACAGATGGTCTTAAGTGCCTGTTTAACAAATGTGAATGTATATTTTTTGGCACATATTCTTAAATATGAAGGAAAAGAACTCAAAATTTTTGCCATAAAGAAAAAAGCTGAATTGGATGAGGTACAATTGAAATATATGGTGAATGTTTAAATTTTTAAAAATTATTACAGAAAAAAATTGATTCAAATATTTACCTTTCATGGTCATTTTGACTTTGGCGAAAATCCAGATGTCACATGGTACCAGATCCAGTATATAAGGAGGACGGGACACATTGTAATGTTTTATGAACTTGCCTTCCCACTAGATGGCTCTGGGCAGCAGCATTCCCTGTATTTTTAAGATCACACCTAACCTTGGAAATATATTCATGAAAGAGGACTTCCAGAGCTGCTTCACAAAGTGGCAAGAATAATGGGTGTGTTTGAAATAAGGGGAAGTATTTTGAGTGAGATTAACAGTAATGCAGCTTTTACTGTAATACATTTTAAAAATGTAAACATTCACCATATTTTTCAATCACACCTCATATATAAGCAACTAATTCCCCAGAATAAAGATGTTCCAAAAAAAATGCAAACACATCAATATTTTAAGGCTTTGGTAGACATAACCATAATTAGCTAAAAGTTCTCTAAAACCTGGCTACTTGAAGTGTGGTCCACACACCAAAATTGGCAACATACAAGTCTATTAGAAATGCAGACTCTCAGGTCCCTCCCAGACCAACTAAATCAGAATTTGCACTTAAAAACAGGATTTGCAAGTAGTCTTGTAGGAAACACTGAAGTTTAAGAAGCACTGCCCCAGCACAATCAAACGCTGTATTTCTGTGGTGAAGAACCTATGGCATGCGTACCACAACCAGCTATTTGTTATCACTGAAAGTTCTAAAAGGTTTGCAATCACTGCTCTAGTTGATTAAGAGAAGGTTGGAAGAAAAAATAGTAGCTTTCTTCATTTATTCATAAGTCAAAAAACATTGTTATGCGGCAAGAGACCAGGGAATAAAAAGTTGTATGAGTATACAAAATGGCCATTACTGACTTAAATGTTGTCTGGTAGTACCAATAGTAATCTTGGCTAAAGCATAATAGTTGTGGGGACAGTTTCAGAACGCTTGTTACTAGATAAATCAGTTCTTTCTAGACCTTTATAACTAGAAAATTATTTCAAGGATGGTGATGACAGTGTTAACAAAAAAATGTTATCGGGGCCGGGGATTTAGCTCAGTGGTTCAGTTGCCTGCCTCGCAAACACAAGGACCCGAGTTCGATCCCCAGTACAAAAACAAAAACAAACAAACAAAAAAACCAGCCAAAAAATGTTATTCCTGTTCATATTTGCCTGTTTAACCACCAGAGTAGTCACTTGTGAAAAAGGGTAGGAACCAAGGCCTCAATGGACACATAAATTTTTTTTTTTAAAATGCAAAACATCTATACTTTTCACAAGATTTTATAAGATTTTTTAAAAAGGGTTCCATCACTCAAAAATAAAAGTTAAAATAAATGCTGCCAAATTTTACGTTTGTGTGTGCGCATGTGTGTGTGTACGCCTGTGTGTATAATTGGAAGGGTGGAACTTGGGATTGAACCCCCACAGTTCATCCATACTAGGCAAGCGCTCCGGTGCTGAGCTACATCCCCAGCTCCTCTTGCCCCCCTTTTTAAAATTTGGAGACAGAATCTCACTAAGTCTCATTAAGATGGTCAGGCTGGTCTCACCTCCCAAGTAGCTGGGATTATAGGTGTGTACCACCTTACCCAGTTTACACATGTACTTTCCTACTACTGGTTTCCTAGGGCCTTTACTATATCTATATGTTTTGTGAACTTCTAAGAAAGGGTGCAGTGTGCAGTGGTTTTTCAAACATTCTTGATTATAAGCTTAGAATATTTTGTGCTTAAGCACCAAACACTATTCCTTTAAACTAAGAACAACCTCAAGGCCACAGCCAAAAAGTAGACCAGACCTTGCAAACCTGAATAAGTATCCTTTAGCTATAATCCAGATTTTAATTAAGTGAATTCTTTTAAAAAATCACAGAAAACCTATCTTTTAAAAAGAAGTTATATGTAGTACCACTCTAAAGAAAACTTTCACATGATACTCAACTGCACACTATTCAATAAAATATAGGTTTAGCTCCGGAAGAACTAAAAGCAAGCCTGTTTTAAAGGCGATTTCACTTATATGATATTCAAAAACTACAATGCATTGAGACACTCACATTTCTTTAAATGAATCAATTAAGAATCTAAGGAGAAGACATTACTGAAGAGTTGGATATAGGACCAGATATAACATTAAAAGAGAGAAAAGTGTAAAACACAGGCATCATGCCAATTTTTAAGTAATATACAGAACTGTGAAAACATCTTTTGAGTTCACAGTAATTACATATATAGAAAACATAAACCAAAAAAAGGGGAAAAAAACTAAGAACTTCAAGAAGCAAAAATGTCATGTTTTAAAATATTTATATTAAACACTACTTGAAATATTTTATTTTTTTTTAAAGTAGAAAAGTAACTAAAACTGTCTGAAGTATGCCTAGCAGAGTGCTTGCCCATCTAGCAATACTGAAATTAAATGACAACATGCCAGAAGGTTACTAATATTTATGCTAAGCAATATTCAACAAATTTCAATACTTACCAACATTTTTAACTCTGTTTTTCAGATGAGAAGAATTTCTCTTCTTACTCTTTGATTTGGGAGTTTTGTCTTTAGATGCCAGGCTGGCTTGTGCAGATGCTTTTCTTGTCTTGAATATTTTAGTTACTGTTGTTGGATCCACTGGATCAGGGATACTGCTAAAGCTTTCTATTGATTCTTCATCAAACTGGCGTCTTCTCCTACTTGTATCTAATTGATTTTTGTGATTACTATTTGTAGTTTTCTCTACTGACAGTGTAAATCCAGTCTTGATAAATGGTTTTTCTATTTCTCCTTCTTGGTCATATATCCACGGTGTCCTACTGTTTTCTACTTCCTCTTCCGGCTGTTTCGGATTCCTTACCAATGAAAACAAGTTTTTAGAAATCACATTATTTGTTGGAAATTCCAGATATACTTATTACTTACTAAAGAGGACATTTAAGTAAATAAAATCATCACCCTATAAAAATGTTTTCACAAAAACATGAATTAAATGTGCCAAGAAGTACATATTGCAAATTAAACTTTAATTTTGGACTCTTCTTAATAAAACATTTTTACTAGAAAAAACTCTAAATCAAAGACCTAAGCTCTTAATAAGAAGAGTGGAAAAGAAAAAACAAGGAAAGATGAGACACGAAAGGAAAAAAAAAAGAGTTGGGTAAGGGGTGGGAGAGAGCTGTAACAAAAGGTCTGGAACAGACATCCAGCTTTATTAGCTAAAAAGAGCTCAAAGAAAACTAGTTTGACTAGAATTTGTGAAAATAATTGGCCACTCAACTAGTAATTTATTTTTATTCAATTGTTTTTTGTAGTACTGGTACTGAATCCAGGGCCTTTGCTCCAAGATCTATCCCCAACCCTTTTTTTTTTTGGAGACAAGATCTCACTCAGTCAGTAAATTGCTCAGGTTGGGCTCCAACTTGAAATCCTTCTGGCTCACTCTTCCAGGGTGCTGGGATTACAGGGGTGTACCATTATACCTGAATTCAACTAGTAATTTCTCTATTTGTTAAGTATAGTTTAGTTCTGTTGATCTAATGTCATTTCCTAAAGTTTATCTGCTGAAAACTAGCATCCCTTAATATGTAATAGGTATTCACTTGTCATCTAAGTTTGGGGGCAAAAATTGGCAAAACACAGTTAAACAGGTCTATAAGACTTCTCATCATTTTAAATATGTCAATATGCCTTATAAACATCTTAGAGTGCTAATGAGCAAGAAGTCGATAACTTTTTATCACAAAATTTAGCATGGACAAAAGTAAGTGTTGTAAATAACAGCTTGGGAGACACTGACCTATAGGGTTAAAGTCAAGACAAGAGTTAGAAACCTACAGCTTACAGGGCAAAGGCAGCCTGTTTTTATATGATCTCTGAACCTGGAATGGATTTTATATTCTTAAATGGTTGAAGAAACAACACAAGAAAACTATGTGACACATAAAATTATATGAAATTCAAATTTCAGTGCCCACCAATAAAATACGGTTGGAACACAGCCATATTGTATGCTAACAGATTGTTGATGGCTGCTTTTGTGTGAAATGGTACAGATGAATGGGTAGGATAGATACTGTATGTGAGATGCCAAGCCTAAAATGTTCACTACTACTTTGTAAGGAAAGTTTTCTGACCTCTACTAAACTAAAGGGTTCATATGAAACTAACAACTAAACAACTAAAGGTTATCTCCAATCACAATTCAGGGAACCTATAATATTTGAGATTCTGGGGAAATGAGGTCTATCTAATATGCAGGTCAAATATCTAAAATAAAATATAGAGATCCACCCTTAAAATGATATAAATACTTAATACAAAACAAGAATAATTTCTTACTATCAAGTACATAACACTGATAATAATGAAGTAGGGAACTTCCAGTAGAAAGTCCTATTCACTGAAGCTTTGAATAAATGTTTACTCCTTGTGGAGTCATTCAACCACCTTTTCTCAATGGAAACTGCACTAAGTACTGTGTTGAGCACTGATAATAGCTTTTACTGATGATACTTTTACAGAGAAACATGAGATTTAATAGGAAAAAATGGTTAGGGCAGCTTATAAAATGAATCAACAAAGTCAGGAAGGTTAGTCATAAGTTTCCTAAGGGTATACCACAAAGTAGGAATTCTAAAACTTACTGGTTAATCAAGTAAAACAAAATCCCCAAAAGTTCATAATTTAACAATTAACAGTGCTAAGTACTAATTTAAGAGACTGAGATATGCCTGATTACACAGCTAAAAAAAAATGTAATGTGAATTATACAAAGGATTTTGACAGAAAAGCATAGATACTTTCTGACAATATTATACTCAATTTAATTCTAATTTTTCATCCTTCTAAGAAGTTTTTTTCTGAAGTAAATAACAATAACAAAAATGTCATAAAATTTTTACCAGATGTCTACCAAAATAATTTTCTAAATTAACACAACTGTTAAAAACATCATTTACATAGCCATTAAAATTCTAGAGAACAACTGGCCTGAACCAATCCAACTAGTCTTTTAGGTTATTTGCGTCAGAAATGGTATTTGGGAAATTATCATATTAAAAATAGTAAATATTAGAAAAGAGAGAACAAAATCCTAACTATGATCGATACCATCTACCATCAAAACTTCTCAGACAAGCCAGGCATAGTGGCACACACTTGTAACCCCAGGGTCCCAGGAGGCTGAGACAGGAGGATTGCAAGTTTAAGGCCAGCCCAGGCCACTTAGTAACACCCTGTCTCAAAATCAAAACAAAAAGGGTTAGAGATGTAATTCAGTGGTACAGCAGTAAGCCTGAGGCCCTGAGTTCAACTAGCATAGCATTGACAAAAACCAGAAAACATCCCAGATATATATATATTTTTTTTCTTTTTTCTTTTTTTTTTGTACTAGGGATCAAACTTGGGATCCTTGCACTTGTGAGGCAGGCAGCGGAACCACTGAGTTAAATCCCCAGCCACGGACCACCATTTAACAACTATCCTCTATCAATTAATATTAGTTTCTTTAAGTCAGTAAACACTTTTAACCTTAAAGACAGACATCAAATCAAGGACAAAAGATACCCTATCGGTGTAGTCATACCCAATAAGATGTAGAAGTTTCATACTTCCAACACTGTCAACCCAAACAATCACAAACATCCTCCCTAATTGTGTTTTCAAATTATATATAATTACATGTAGTTACAAAAGTGAGTGTTTTTACAAAAGTAAAAGTTTAAGCAAATGACATTATTTTCACAGTCCAGTACCTTTGCTTTTCTGCTCCGATAGAGGAACTGCTTTCAAAAGGTTTTGGAAAAGCCATATATTCTGTTTTCCCTGAAGGGTTCTGGGCTAATGGCTGCTGCTGTTCAGTGGATGAAGAAATATTCTGAGAAAAATCTCCAAAAGGAGAAGGAAATAAAGGGCTGAAATTCATACCTAAGAAATAAAAGTAATGGAGAACAATAAATTATGCCTTTAGCCTTAAAATGAAATTACACGTGCTGTTCAAATCCACTGAAAAAATTATCAATTTAATATACTAGTGTTCATTTATTAATCACTTAGAGCTCAGCCCACTACATTTTAGGCTTTGGTGATACAAAGATGACTAATGATCTCTACTTCCTTAAGAACTAGAAGTTATAAATAATAGTTCTTGATATTTATCAAATTATAGGGTGCTTCACGTATAGATACCAAATAGTTTCTCTGGTGTGAGAAACTGAAAGTGTAAATAAGGACTAAATGTATAAGAGATAATGAGAAATAGGAAGAAAAGGGCCAAAGAGGAAGGGGAAGTGGGAGGGGTAGGGGAAAGGAAAGAAAGGAATGGAATTAATATGAGAAAATGAAAAAATAGGAACAAAATCTTTGTAAATAGGGAGGAATGGAGGGCTTGAAGGGAGGGCTGGGCAAGGGTGAAAAATAAGAGCCAAGAGAGGTTATGTAAAGGTGCAAATTTCCAATGATGAATGTCATTATATTGTATACCTAAAATGCACCAATGATTAGAATGAATAATCGATAATGCAAAATAGGAAGAAAAGGTCCAAAGGGGTAGGGGTAGTGGGAGGGGCAGGGGAAAAGAAAGAAGGGAAAGGAAAAATGATGAGAAATGGAAAAAATGGAAATAAAGTCTTTGTAAATAGGGAAGGGTGGAGAAGGTGAAGGGAGGGCTAGGAATGGGGAAAAAATAAGAACCAAGATGCATCATGTAAAGGTACAAGTTCCCAAAGAGAAATGTAATTGTGTTGTATACCTAAAATGTACCAATAAAAGAATTTAAGGAAAAAAAATTATAGAGTGCTAGACTCAACTGTAGGTACTTTACATATTCCTTCATTTAATTCTTAAATTAATAGTGTGAAATTGGTACTACAGGCATACTCATTTTACTAGTGAGAAAATAGGCTTAGAGGTCAAATATCTAATAAAAAGAGGTAGTTAGATTTCAGATCTACATGACTCCAGAGCTTATGTTCTTTCTACTCAAACTGGGAAAACAAAGCATAATTAAGTACTTACCAAACAGTGTTATGTATCAGAGGTATTTGCAGAGTTACTTGAGGAGGAAGGGATAAGGGGACAGCTTCACAAAACTGAACTAGTGTATGAGGAATAAACAGTGTTTGTGCAGGGTTGGCATGGGATTAAAAGGACCAGCACTCACAGATTCTCATTTGTCACTTAAAAACCTACTTAAGTAATGTTTGTTGTAAGTATTAACATTCAAGAACTAAAAAAGCCTGTTCAATTTCTTTTAAAAAAATTTATTCCTTTTTCATATTGATTTTTTTAAAAATTACTTCTTTTTCCTTACTGCCACTACTAATACCTTAAGTCAGGTTATCATTCTTTCCATATTACTGTAAAAGTCTTCTTCTCTAGTTAATCTTGGCTCCTCTTTAATTCAACACTTTTATTAGTATAATCATTTGAAAATATAAATCTCATTCCCTTCTCAAAGCCCCCAAGGGCCCTCTCTTGTGTGCAGTACAGTTTAAGCTTCTTTGGCACATTGCAGAAGGCCTCTGCCACTCTTCAGCCACATCGATTACTCTTCTCCTGCCTTAGCCCTAAACACTAGTCGCATTTACCTCTAAATTCTCAAAGTATTACTCCACTGCTTTGTAACTCTAAGTAGTTCCACCGATTAGAAAGCCCTTTCCCTTTTAATCTCTCTGGAAATAAATTGTATTCATTCTTTAGTTTAAATATCACCTTTTCTGGAAAAATCGAATTTACTCACTCTCCCCCAGGCATCTGTACCATGGCTATAGGATCCATGACACTGCACTGTAAGGATTTTTTTAATATTCGTAGTTTTCTCAGTAGACTCTGAATTCCTTCAAAGATTAGTCTGGCTCATCTTTTAATCTCAGTAATTTATATAGTCCCTGGCACAGAAAAAAAAGTCTGAATAAAAGCCTAAGCTAGCCGGGGATTTAGCTCAGTGGTTCTGCTGCCTGCCTTGCAAGCGCAAGGTCCTGAGTTCGATCCCCGGTACCCCCCCCCCAAAAAAAGAAAAAAATAAAAGCCTAAGCTAAACGTGTTCACTAAGGATAAATGCTTCTCCAGAAGAGTGTTGTCTAATTTAGTCATCTTTACTGTCATAATGTTTTACATAGTGCCTGCTGGACAGCAGCCAATGGATAGGTTAATTTCCTTTTCCCTTAATAGCTGGAAGCATCCTTCATAGGCAATTTACTTAATTTTGTTAGCAACGATATTAAACTTAAGTTTTTATTATAAGAAACAATGTAGAAAAGTATGTAACTTTCCTTGCCATTTCCTACCATTCCACAATAGAATGTTAAAAATCCACATAAAAAAACAAAATAAAAACTAATAAAATAACAACTCATCATGCAATAGACAAATTACAACCTAAAACCCATGCATTTATTTTCCCTTTAGGTTTTTTGTCACTTACCTGGTGCAAATGATGCAAAGTTAGTAAATCCAGGTACATTAAACAGATTTACAGGCTGTGGTGGAAAGCTGAAAGGACAAAATAAACTGGGAGAAGGAGGGTGTGATGTGTTACTGCCTCTTTCCTTGCTTCCAGGTTTTTCTGGATTATGATTTTGTTGGTGCATGAGTTCATTTAGCATTTGTTTCAACCTACAAAAATTTAGAAAGTCAGTAAATTAAAAATCAGTTATATTATATATATATATGTATATCCTTATATATAAGAAATGATCCAATAGCACATTTACTACAATAAATATTTCCTTGCTCTACTGACTTAATTTACTAACAGCCTTTGGAACAAGACTTGAACTTGGTTCTTCTATCACATAGATACAGTATAACTAAAACTAATTTTTTGCTTATAGCTTTATTACAGTAATAATTTACATGCTACAATTCACTCAATGTAAGGATATGATTTAATAATACAAAATTCTGCAAACAGACGTCTACAATATCAATAAGGAACATGATGTAAATCACTGGTTATAAAATTCTCAAGTAGTATAGAATGTCTGGGTATGTAATTTGGCTCTTGCTCTTCTTTCGAAGAAGGTAACTGTAAAACTCTCACTTAATTTTAGATTAGTACTCACTATACAGTCTCAATACTTCTAAGAAACAGTTTACCTCTGAACATTATTCTGTTGCCACGTTAGCTGTGTATAGCACTGGTTCAACTGGTGCATTATGAGGTGTACTTGAGGAGATGCAACATTGCTTGGCATAACACTGTAGGGACCAGTGAGAAGAGTTTGTAGCAAGCAAGACAGAGTCTATTTGAAAGAAAATTTTTGGTAAGTTACTGATGAGTTTAGAAAAATGTGTATTGCTTCAAAAACAGTGCAAACAAATGAAAAATTTAGTATTATGGTAAATTTTACCTGTTGGTCTTGCATCAAAGTCTGACAAATGTTAACACTAAAATCAAGTTGTTTCTTTAGCTGATTAATTTGTTCTTGCCACTGTTCTTTCTCTTCTACATAAGAGAGCTCTGACACCCATCGAAGGTTTTCTTGCCGTTGCATACTGATATTCTGTTGTCTTGTCTTGGCTAAAGGACGATAATTTCCATCAGCTGAAAAAGGGCGATTGTTCTTCCACCTAACACAAGATTTAAAGCCTTAAGTCATCATACATAGCAATTTGTTTTTTAAAACACAGAAATAAATCTGATATCTTAGTCTCTTTAAGTTCAAAGGACTTTAAAAATTACAGATTTCCAGTCTTGTACAATTTTAACTAATTTTAACTGCTTTCCAGTCCTTTTCACTTAAGTTTTTGCACAGAAAATTTTATGTAACTCTGCATTCTGCAAAATGCAAATATTTTACCATAAGCATTTTCTGGCCATATTTCAGTTTAGGCACATAACATTCTATCAAGTAGAACCGTTACAGCTACTTAACCATCTTTTTCACTAATGAAGATATTTTCACTGTTATAAATAACAATGCAATTAATATTTTTATGTTATTTTTTGAGACAGTGTCTCACTATATTACCCATGCTGACCTCAAATTCCTGGGCTCAAGTAATCCTCCCACTTCAGTCTCCCAAGTACAGTGGAACCTCAGTTCACAAACAATTTATTCTACAATTTTGGAAAAGATGGCCATGTTTGTGATTGTGTGGCCAGTCATGCTTGTCACCTGATGCAGTTTGCAAATAAAAACAAAATTGTGCCAAATGCTTCTGTTTGCAAACCAAACTGTTAGCAAACCAAAGCATCCGTGAACTGAGGTACCACTGCAGCTGGAATTACAGGCACACACCACTGTACCTAGCAATGCAATTAATATTTCTGTTGACCTTTTTCAAGATCTCTAATTTTTCTCCTTGCTTAATTCCCCAAAACAGGAGCAAAGATAAAAGTTTATGTATGAATCTTATTCCAGACCACCTGGGATCTACTGTACACCGTTCTGATATAACTTAATAAAAATGTATCTTAGTTTTTGTCTCTTGTTCCTGGCACAGAGACCCTAAAACCCTCAGAATCTCTCGAGTGGTAAGGCACCTTTTGTTATTCCTAACAAGCCCCTTTCAACAACATTAATAAAGTAACTCTTGGAGGGGGAAGGGAAGAGTGGTCACCAGAAATACCAGCCAGATTATTAGAGGGTTACAACTTTCAGACCAATCAACTGAACTCCAGGGAAGGAAAAGGGGCCACAGTTTGAGTCCAATCAATCGGTCACGACCTAATCAATTATGCCCACATAATTGCTATGGTTTAAAACTAAAATGTCCCCTAAGTCTGATGTGCTCAGAGGTAGGGCTTTTGGAAGGTGACTGGACCACAGTATTGATGAATTCCTAGCTGAATGTGCTATTAGGAGGCAGACCTAGTTGGAAAAGGTGGCCACTGTGGGCATGGCACAGAAGGGTATATTCTCATGTCTGGCTCTTACCTTTTCTCTGCTTCCTGGCTGCCATAGGTTGAGCACCTTTTCTCCATCATGTCCTTCTACCATGCTGTCTCTGCCTTGGAGCCAGTAACTACGGACTCTTTGAAACTGTGAGCCAAAATAAACCTCTCCTTTAAGTTGCAGTGTCAGGTATTTTCTCCCAGTGAAGGGAAAGTGACCAATACAATAAAACCTCCATAAAAATCTCTGGACTTCAGAGAGCTTTTGGGTTGGGAGACCACATCATAGTGCCAGGAGAGTAGGTTTCTCAGAGGGGTCATAGAAGCTCTGTATATCTCATACATTACCCTTAAATTCCTTCTAGTTGACTGTTCCTGATGTGGATACTTTGTAATAAACTGATAAATATATTTGTATTTTCCTGAGTTCTGTAAATTGTTCTAGCAAATTATCAAACCTAAAGAGGGATCATGGGAACTACTAAATCTGTAGCCAAGTCAGATAGAAGTGCAGTTACCCTGAGAATCAGGCACTTGCAACTGAAGACACTCTGGTGGATCTGAGCCTTTTAACTTGTGCAGTCTGCACTTACTCTTGAATCTTAGTACAACTGAATTGAATTTTAGGACTGTTGTCGAGTTGTTCTAAAGAATTGCAGAAGAGCCTGGTGTCAGTCAGAAAGATTTGACATACTTAACCTAAGCAAAAAAATGAAAACATTGAAACTAACCTATTTTTTGTTTCCTTTACATTATGGGAGTTATGATTCACACTGTTAGGAGGATATACAGAAAAGTTGTCACTGGAACTGGCATACTGCTCTTCTTCTTCTTCATCTGTCCGAACAATTCCTTCAGAAAGGTAACCATCTTCATCTCCTTCTTCATCGAGTGCACATTGAGTAGAACCTCCCCAAGTTGCCATGGTTCTATTACAAGGCATAACAGATACCATTCTGAAGATGAGTTCAATACTTTACAATCTATTACAGGTCAGACTCTGTATCAAACACAAGTATAAATTTTTTTATCAAATTACATTTAATCACAGTAACTCTATGAGATGAATGGTACTATCTTGATTGCTGTTATATAGAATGCTTAGTTTGTCTACCACAAAATAATTCATCAAATAAATTAATATAGTAATCCCATTTTGAGAGCTTTTTCCTAAACTAAACCTTCTTCAACTTTTCCTTGAGCAACACAGTTCTCTGTCTCAGTGTTGTCCAACAGAACTTTCTATAGTAATGGTAATGATCTATTGGTACCATCTGTGCTGCCCTATAGAGTAGATATTAAGTATACACGAATACTCAGTACTTAAAATGTGGCTTATATGACTAAGAAAATGAATTTTTAACTTGATCTTATTTAAATAGCCACCAGTATCTACTAGCTGCCATGCCAAAATGTATGCACAAATCTAGACCAATGGTTCTGAGCTTTCATCAAAGCTACCTGAAGAACTCTATGAAAGGAGAGACGTTTAGTACTAGGTCTCTAAGAACAGGAAAAGCTCTTCTAAAAGGAAGAGAGGGAGAATAATGTTCTGGAAATGGTATGAGGATATGAACAAGTGCAACAAATTTGGATTTCAAGATTTCAGATGAAAATACTAGTATACATCTAAGCAAGTAACTAATCTCACAAATGACCAACTCTTTTAGAAATATGCTAAGTATGGAAATTTCAAACTTAAACCCTAAAAACTAAATGTTTCATATAGCAAAATGTTTTTTAAGATATTCAGGAACCTTACAAATAAAAAAATGAAGCTAAAAACTAAGAAAATAAGGCCTACAGACACTAGAAAATCTGTATCACCATTTGATCAAATGCCATAGTAATTGAAAATAAAGGAAGCTGATGCTATAAGTCAGAAGAAAGTGACCAGATTCAGTTAAACTGAGGCACAAAGGTGATAACTGCACCAGTTTAAAGGAAATAGCAGATGTGCTATAGTGTAAATGGAAAATGAGGCTGCCTTATCTATAGATTTTAAGTGATGTTTTTAAAAAAGATTATTTAAATAACTCTCTTACTTTTCTGTTCTACTTTGTTGAGGAGTACACACGTTCTCAGATCCATCACTTCTTAATGACACAGCCACTGGAGATGTAGTTTCAGCTAGACCTTGCCTCCTCTGATGTTCAGCCATCAGAGCCTCAAGCTGCTTTCTTCTCTGTCGCAGCTCTTCCCTCAACATTTCATGTCTTCGCATGTCTGACCACAACTATTGTTTTAAAAATCAGAATCAAATAAATACTTGGACTTGCTGAAGCCTTAAAGAATAACAGCCTTACAGAATCTTGTCACTAACACTAAGCTCTCTACTTTCCTTCTATCCTTTTTATACTAAGATATCTACAAAGGTTAAAATAATATTTTAGTGATACATAAGAAAAAGGTCAATCATTAATTTTTAATGACAAAAAGTAGCACCAAATATACTTCATGGACCATTCAGAAAAAGTTATATTTTCTATAATACAATATATAAATAAAAGGCCAAAGGATAAGTCTTTCTACTGAAATGATTAGTATGTACCACAATTACCCCCTTATATAAAGTTCTGCCAATTATACTAATAAAGAACATGAGTTTCTTAAAACATAAGTATTTTTTGGAAAACAGGAATTTGCTCCGACTAAAAGGCACAAAACACACTACAATTTAAAAACATGCTCCACACAGAGCACTTGCCTAGCATGTGCAAGACTGTAGGTCTGATCTCCAGCACCTCAAAACAAAAAAATAAGACAGCAACCAAATAATGTGATAGTTAATCTTGCCAACTTGACTGAATTAAGAAATTCCTAGGTGGGCATAGTGGTGCACACCCTAATTCATGCACCTGGGAGACTGAAAGGATGTCAACTTTAGTGTCTTAGTGAGACTAAATCAAATAAAAAATTTTAAAAAACCAAAAAGCCTAGGAAAATAGCAAAGTACACTTCTGGATGTACCTATATAGGGTGTTTCTAGAAATGACTGGCAACGCAGGGTAGTGAACTGATGGAGAAGACCTGCTTTAAATGTGGGCAGCACCATACCAGGCTATTTCTGCCTCACCACAGGCCTAAAAGCAAAGGGGCCAGATAATACAGACTGTAACTTCTAAAACTGAGGTCAAACTAAGTCTCTCCTCCTTTAAGTTGCGTTTTTTCATGTATTTTGTTACAGCAATGTAAAGCTAACCCAAATAACAAAAAAAACATTTCACAGACACTCTTTCCCTTCTTAAAATGTGACTTGAGACCACACAGAGACAAAAGAATATATTTTACTATACCTCATTATCTACTACTGAAGAATCATCAGGATCAACAACAGATTTGCTTGTACTAGTCTCATTTTCATTAACAGTTGGGGTTGAAATAACAGCTGGTATATATTTTTTTGTAGGACAATTACTTACACTAGCAGCTGACAGCTAAAAACAAATTAGAAAAAACTATTATCAGATGTTAAAGCAATTATATTCACTTCATACAAGCTGTTATTTTACTACTTCTCTAGAGCTCTAGTACCATTATTTAATGTTCTTACCAGACCTCAATTGTCATCATTACCCAAAGATAACATAAGGAAACAAAAATCAAAACACTGGGAAAAGTTTGTGAATACCTGTAGTAACACTCAGGAACAATAAAGGCAATAGTGATCCACTGTTATTATGGAAAAAAAATTTTTTTTTGGTACCGGGGATCGAACTTGGGTCCTTCTGCTTGTGGGGTAGGCAGCAGAACCACTGAGCTAAATCCCTGGCCCTTGTGGAAAATTTTATACACTTATCCAAACTCTATTACATAGTCCCTGAAGATTATTTAGATTGGGGATAAACATCAAAAAGATTAAAGTGGAAAAGGCAAGAGTTTAGAAAATAGTTTTTTAGAAACATCACTTGATATGTTTCCCTTTCTTTAAAAACAAAATATAAAGAATAAAGCTAATCGATAAAGTTTAGAAAGATCTCAAAAAACAATCATGATTCCATTCCAATATTAACCCTACATCTAATTTATTATTTGACATGACCAAAAATAGCTTATTCTGTTTAATTTCAAAGACAAATGTAATAGAGAACTAGTAAATAAGTAAAAGCATATATATTTAATATCCAAACTATACATAATTATTTTCTTTAGATATTTATGATGGCTTAAAAGCTTTATTACTAGGCCAATAAAAATGAGAATGCTGGCCCATATCTACAAAGTTCAAGTTAGAATATTTTAATATAATAGAGTTACAAATACTCGCATTCTGAATCAATGGTTTAGCTAGCCCAATAAATATAAGAATGAAATAATGAGTCAATTTCTATGTGCTATCCCTTACAGTACAAACATATCCCAACCCATTATTCACAAAATTAGTAGATACAACTCTGTCACTTCAGTAGAGCATTTAAAAAATTTTTTAAAAAGACAACAGTTTTCAAGTGACATAGTTTTAAACATGCTTTTTTTTTTTTCTTTCAGACAAATGGAAAAAAATGTCATAATCACCTGCAGATCAGGACATGCCTTTTGCAATGCTTGAATTTTCTCCTGAATCTCAATCAGTTTCTTTCTTTCTTCTTGCAATTGTTTTAGCTCTCTTTGTTGCTGCTGTAATTTAGCCTCATAAAATTTCTCTCTGTAATTAAATTGACATTATATTTGTGGACTACAATAAAACACGTTGAAGGTATTAAGCAATACGTAACACAATACCTAGCCTACTACTTTCTCTAAAACAGGCGCTAGAGGGCTGGAGATTTAGCTCAGTGGTGCCGCTGCCTGCCTCGAAAACACAGGTCCTGAATTCAATCCCCAGGACTGAAAAAAAAAAAAAAACAGGCACTAGAGCCAGGTATAGTGGCACATGCCTGTGATTTCAGCACTCAGGAGGCTGAGGCAAGAAGATTGCTCCAAGTTCCAGGCTAGTCTGGGCTACAAAGTGAGTTCAAGGCCAGCCTGTCTCAAAAAACCAAAAACATAAAACAGGTACTAAATTTTTATTAAATCAAGTCAAAAAGCTTACCATACCTTGCCTTTTCATTTACTCTAGTATCTTTCTGTGTTTTATTGCTATTTCCTCTAGCTTTATTTGAATTTTGTTTGATTTCCACTTCTGGTGGGTAGACATCACCCAAATTCGGTGTACTGGCAGAGATAACTCCTTCAGCTGCATCATCATCCTGAAACACCATAATTATATTAAAACTATCTTGATACCTAAGACTATACAATTCACACCAAAATGCATTAGGCTATACAAATTTATATAAAATAATTAATGCAATAAAGCACACAATTTTGCTATAAACTAAATTTTATCTTCTTTCAATGGCAAGAAATGAAACTCTAAAACCAAAATGAGCACATTTAAAATCTGAGTTGCTAATTATTCAGTGCTATGGTTTAGCTATGGTTTGAGAATGTCCCTTAAGGGTTCTGTACTGAAATTTAAATCCCATTGTGAAGTATTTAAAGGATGCAAATTTAATCCCACTAGTGTTAAAGGTAGAACCTTTGGGAGGAGATCAGGAATGAGTATGGTCATCATCAGCAGAGAGCTCCCATAAGTGAACACCGGTGGCTTTGTATGAAAAAAGATGGCTATCAAAGGATACAGATACAAATACAAATGTATGATGCCCATTGCTTACTATGTGATGCCCTGCACCACCTGAGGACTCTGTAAGCCAGGAGGCCATCATCAGATGTGGGCCCTTCCACCACACCAGCACTGGGAGGTACATAAATTTATTTTCCCTATAGTTGCCCAGCCTCAGAATTTCATTAGAGTGATGTAAAACAGACTACCGATTACACTACACTGGAAAAAGAGCAGCACTATATAACAGCTGAGAAAAAGATAAAAAGGAATAACTTTAAAAGTTAAATCATTTTTGTTGCTCTAGACAGATTATACCTACTTTACTAAACTGTAAAAACCTAAGTAAGTCTATAGACTACATTAATGTATTAGTAAAAACATGAACATTTTCATATGTGTACATTGGTTTTAAAAATTTATGATTACCACTTCCAACTTCCCAACACTTTAGCAAGCTGAGGCAGGAGGATTGCAAGTTTAGGCCCAGCCTGGGCAATTTAGTGACCTTTTCTCAAAATAAAAAATGGCTTGGGTATATAGCTCAGTGAGAAGGTCCTAGGTTCAATCCCCCATACCAAAACGAAACAACAACAATAACAAAAAAAAAAAACCAAATACAACTTTACTGAATAAGACAACAAGGTTTTTCTTCTTTTACATCAAGTGAGTTAAGATCTCAGGCTCTGGTGGCAGGTGGTCTAAATTATCAATAGATCTATAACACTGGGCAATTAACACTTGTTAATCTGTTTACTGTCTACTTTATTGAGATGTTACAGAATCTACTTGGCATAGGCTAAGGTTATCAGCAAAAACAAAAACAAAACCAACAATCTGGCTTTGTATATAGAACTATACTGGAACACAGCTACAGTAATTTACATATTATGTCTATTTTGCACTGAGTTGTGACCAAAATACCTACTACCTCATCCTTATTAGAAAAAGTTTGCTGATGTCTGATGTACAATATAAAGTACTAATTCTTTAAAACTGGCATATAAGAAATAATGTAGGGCCAGGGATTTAGCTCAGTGGTTCCAGCGCCTGCCTCGTAAGCGCAAGGTCCTGAGTTTGATCCCGGTACCAAAAAAAAAAAAAAAAAAGAAAAGAAATAATGTAGGGCTAGGGAGGTAGCTTGTGATAGAGTGCTTGCCTAGCATGTTCAAAGGCCTGGGTTCAATCCCTCCCACTACAAAAAAAGCATACTAGTTTAATTATATTGTACCAATACAGCTGTCAACACATACACACATTTTACAAGTAGGTACCATTTGATAGTCTTTCCCCAAAGAAACATTCACTATTTACCTGCACCATAGCAACAAGATCTTGTAACTGTCGAAGTTTCTGTTTTGCAGCCATAAGTCTGTAGACCTTCTGTTCAAATTCTGCATCTTCTGGAGCCTCATCAACCAGACTGCTCCTATGACTAGATAACGAAGCTCCACTGACTACCTCCTCTTCTGCTTCTTCTTCTTCTTCTTCTTCCTCCTCATCATTTTCCCCTTGTGCTACATGGATCCCTTCATCTCCTTCTCTATTGTATCGACAATCTGCTAAAAACATATCATCCAGTCAATAATTTTTAAGTAAATTTAAGAGTATTAATGAAAGAAGATACACTTCATAAGAATGATATGGCAAAGCCTTTGAATACAATCATACCTAAAGAAGGCGGCATGTTTAGAGCCCTAAGGTTGGCAGCAGATCTGTTGTTTATTTCACAATTAGAATTGGCTGATCTCCCATCTCTATTATTAGAAACACACTGTGGATTACTATTACTATTTACTTCATTCCATGTGGCAGATACTTGTGGATTTCTGAAAGGAAGAAAACCTAAAGTTAAAAAAATCACCGGTTATCCCATTTAATTTCAAACTTTTAATAATCAGCTCCTACTTTTCATTAACTTTTACATGTGTTATTTATAAATTTATGAAGAACATCTGAGAAATCAAAATTACATCTAAAAATAAAGGAAAGAAAAATGCTAAACGAAATATTTCTTACAGTTTATTGTATGTGATAGCAAACTGACAACACGGCTATGTTCAGTACTTCCCTACTTTACCTTTATAGGACAAGGATGATTACACTGGGCAAAATAGTAGACTTATAGGAGAAAAGCTTAAAAGAAAAACAAATAATGAGCATTTTACTGAGGTTATCCTCCCCCCACCTCAACCACCAACACCACACTAAAGCTATTAGGTTAAGATGAATACACTGAAACACTTACAAAAAAGTTCTTACCGAATGTTAACAACAGGTTCAGAATTTTCACGCTCAGAATCATATTCTGACTCTTCAGTTTCATCTTTTGTGTTTTCATTTACAGCATCTGCCATCATATCTGATGTTTGCTCATAATAATGAACTAATTCTCTTAATTCATTCAATCTCTTTCGAACTTCATTTAGCTTCCTGATAAACGTATATTAACATCCATATTAGCAAAAACAAAAAAAACAGTTTTCATACAATAGCAAGCAGTACTTACACACATTCATTCATATTCTCATTCTCTCTCTCTCCCCCTCCCTCCCCCCAACCCTCTCTCTCTCTTCCCAGACCTTATCAAATATTGAGGGAATCTGACTATAAGGAAGTGAGTTTAATTTCAAGTATGACTTACTTGAAATCTTAGGACTTTATTTTATGTTGTTTTAGGGACAAAAGCATGAACAATCTATTTCAATTTTAGTTATAAACATTAACAGGAGAAAACTCAAGGTCAAAAACATTTCTAGGCTTCTTCATGTGTATTAAAAGCATGAAGTAGGGCCTGGGATTTAGCTCAGTGGTTCCCCCACCTGTCTCGCAAGCGCAAGGTCCTGCGTTCAATCCCCGGTACCAAAAGCATGAAGTACTAATATTCAACTTAATTACCCTCTTAGGCAAATAAGACATTATACATATTTATAGGTTTCCAATCACCCACATAAAAAGAAATCTATAAAGCATATAATATTTTTAACCAAAATAATAACTAAGATTTCTGAGTTGTCTATTTATGTGCCAAGAAACACTAATACTTTTTTAGTTCCTAAAAACAAACTGAAATGTCACACTGTCTCAAGTAAATATGTACAATCAGTATGTATCAATTAAACGTATATATTTTTTAAAAAAACTTGAATAGGTATATTGTTACCCCTTTTTTGCATATGAGGGAACAGAGGGTTAGAAAGGTAAGTTATTGGTCCATAGTGACAAAGCCTTGCATGGTATAATTCCAGGGCTGTATGACTAGGGCCTGAGCCCTTTCATTTAAATAAGAAAAATTTTAACTACAACCTAGCTATTTCTGACCCTTTCTTTGGAAGACAAGAAAATAACAACAGTTTGCAAGTTACCTGTGTTACAGTATCATATTTCACTTTAACAACTCATAAAATGCACATATAACTCACCATACTCCTTTTCTAACATGTTTATCTTATTAAATAACCAGTTTCCCCCAAAATTCCAACACAAAGAAAAAAAACCCCAACTTTATCCCCATAGTTTAATTTTAATCTATGTGAACAAAGATTGTAAAGAATGTTTTACTGGAGTTTTTCAGTTGGATTTAGATGCCCTTCACGTTCACTCTCATTCTGAGAAACCAGAGAAGTGGCAGGATAAGGAACAGATGACGTAAGGCCATTATTGGACTCTCCATTGACAACTGGCGCCAAGCCTACAGAAGCAGAAGGGGCTGAACTTGTACTTCTCTGATCTGTACTCTTCTGTGGAGAAGCTGAAGAAGGCACAACTACAAAGAAAAAGGAAAGTTACCAAAGTTACCATAAACGAACATAGCAGCAACAGTTTGCACAGAAAATGAGAAACAAAAATTAAAAACATTAACGTCTTAAATTTTGCAGAATTAACTTTTTAAAAACTTGAAAATATATCCAGGCCGCTTATTTATTAATGTACTCCAAAACTAAACACATCAAAATACATGCAGAAAATAGATTTTTACTTCTTTCTTCAAGAGATTCTATTACTTTTTTTTTGTTTGATTTTTGAGACAAGGTATTGCTTTGTAGTTCAGGCTGGCCTTGAACTCACTATGTAGTCCAGGCTGGCCTTGAACTCACAGCAGTCCTTCTGCCTCAGCCTCCTGAGTGCTGGGATTACTGGCATGCACCATATTACTTCTACATTAGTATCACTGGGTTAAAAACAGGGAGGAGGACTGCAAGAATTATGATACTGCATATTGGAAAAATAAGAGTTCTCGGATAAATGTTAATTATTTCCTATCCACATATATCAGGTAAAGATATGCCTTCCAATATGGATGAAGAACCTTTGCACTTTTCCTCCTCTTAACTTCAAAACTATTGTCGTTTCTCTTTTTTAAAGGGACCATTATTGCTTGCTGCTTATGGCACAATTGCTGTAGCTGGTTTCCAGTAGTTAATGCTCTCCTGTTTTCCCACTGGGGAAAAGATCGGTAGTTGTGAGTAGGCAGTGTTAATTTCTTTACATGCATAAAACTGATCACAAGACTATACGTACAACTTTTAAATTTTTAAGTTTTTCACAGTTGTCTCCCTCTGTTTGTAAAGGGATTCAAATTATACTCTAGAGGAGGAGAAAACTAGCAGAAATCAGGGAAAAGAAAGATGTATATTTCAGGGTCTTGCTATGTAATTCAGGCTGGCCACTCCTGACAATCCTCCTGCCTCAGCCTCCTGAGTGCTAGGATTACAGACATACATACACCACCTTGCTTGGCAGAAATGTGTAAGGTTTTTTTGAGGTGGCAGAGAAACAGAATGGGTGGAGAATAAAAAACAGGGACTCCAGAGATGATGTTTTTATCCTTTATCTTTTCTTTTTAGTATGAGAGTGATTGGAATGTTAAAGAATAATAACCAATTTGGGTTGCCCCTGTTGACTTCTATTTCCAGTGTTGAAGCCCTGTTACTAACTGTGTTAGTAAGTGGCAGGAACCATACTTGAGAGGGTTTTCGGATAGCAAGACTAGCAACTAGGTCTGACTTAGAATGGGTTGGGGTATAGCTCAGTGGTAAAGCACATGCCTAGCATGTACCAAGGCCTTGGGTTCCATCCCCAGGACCAAAAACACCGAAAAGAACTACAGCAAGTAGAATATCGATGCACTCTAAATCTGTTTCATAGTTTCGGGGTTTTTATTTTTGGAGAACTGAGATCAAACCCAGGACCTTCAAGCATGCTAGGCAAGTGCTCTACCTCTGAGCTACATTTTCAGCCCATAGATTTATTTTACCTTAGGGAAAAATCTGAATATTCTAAAAAGTGTAGCATTGTGTACAAATATCAAATAATTACCTCTTCTGCCACTTATTAAAATTCTACTAATTTTTCAAGGCCCAACTTTGCTCTTTCCCCTTTCTGAACAGATTTATTATCCACCTGGGTATTATCATATACTGGCTTATTTTAAAACTTCAAATTCAAGTTTTATCTCCCCATGAAAATTATAAATTTCTTGAAAATCTATTTATTCACTCATCAAATATTCTGTAGCCATTATATACCAGAATATATACTTATATGTCCTCTATGCAATATTGCTGAACCAGATTTGCTTACATGATGAGTTATTCAGATGCTGATCTCGAAGTGTGTGAAGTTCTCCAAGCAATTTGTCCATTTTTTGTTTCTTTTCCTGTAGCACTCTCATTTTGCTAAAAAGTTGGACTTTCTCATCAGGTAAATGTTCGGAAACTGATGGATTCCTGCTCTGGAAAACCTCCCTAGTTAATGAAAGACTTTCTGCCTGTCTTCTGTTGTCAGGAACTGCTGGAGGCTTATTTTAAAAAGAAAAAAAAAATTAAGTCAAAGGGAATTAAAAACTGCTTTCTCATTTTAAAATTATTTTAAGTATAAATATCCCCCCCATTAAGTTTATTGGTACATTTTAGGTATAAAATACAGTTACCTACATCATTGGGGATCTTGTACCATTACATGAGTATCCTGGTTCTTATTTTTTTCCCCTTCGCCCACCCTCCCTTCACCCACTCCACCCTTCCCTATTTGCAAAGACTTTGTTTCCATTTTTTTCCTTTTCTCATATTTCTTTTCCCTTCTTTCTTTTCCCCTACCCCTCCCAATTCCCCTGCTCCTTTAGACCCTTTACTTCCTATTGCACAATATCAATTATACATTTTTAAAATTACAATATCAAGATCTAGGAGACATTACCACAGATTTTACAGAATTTAAAAGGATACAGAGAGCATATTACAAAAATCTGTTTTGAAATAAATTTGACAACTTCTAAGCAGTAACTTGGAAGACAAATTAATGAAACTAACCCTGGAGGAAATATAAAATTCGAATAGCACCTGTTAAAGAAAGTATATTCCTAGCTTGAAAACCTACCTATATGACAACAGCAGGCTCATATACATTTTAACTGATAAATTATATC